ACTATTGTTAGCTGAAAATACTCCACTATTTGCTTGGAGGTTTGAGAAAGAAGAGGTGGGATGAATATATTTGATAATTTGGTTGCTATGCAACCACTTATGAATATAGGCTCCTACCATAGTAGATGATACTGAGGGGGTATCCAAGTGTGCGGATGCCGCGAGCACACCAAGGGTATTCTTCGTATGACACAGCCACAGTCTGAGATCTGAAGTTGGAGAATATATGAGTAAGAAAAAGAATGCCACAAATCACAAAGACCTCCATTTATGGCAAGACTGTGGGGCTTATATTACACAGTTGAATGGGCAGAAGCTTACCAGAAATGGCCTCAGCTTAGAGAAAGAAACAGTCACACTGCTCCTTTGAAGCAAGACTTCCTCTAATCAAAATTCAGGGAAGATAAAAAAGAAAGGAAATTAAGAGTGTGGTACTCTTTATTCTTATTTAAAAATCCTTGCTTAACTTAATCTTCAAATCAATTTGTAAAGTAGGTAGTACTATTCTCAGTATATAAATAAGAAAACTGAGACGTAAGCGAGGTTCAGTAACTTGCCAAAGGTCACGTTATAGTTGGGAGTAAATATAGGATGTAAATACAAACTTTGGGTTCAAGTCCAGTATTTCTATCATTGCTTTATGCTTGGTAGGTGATCATTCACCTTTAGTGTTTCTTTCATATTATTAGTTTTCTCTTTTATGAATTCCATAAGGAAAGACTATTCTGGTGTGAAGTTTCTTTTTATTTCTGCTAAATATTAGAGGTTTAACTCTGACACTTCCTGGTGTGCTTACTGAGCATCAGAACAGGCTACACACTGATTTTATTGCATATATTGCATTTTACTGCATGTATCAACAGCAATTTTTTAAGGTCTATTTAATTTTAAAAACTATTTAGATGTTTATTAAAATTAGTTGCCATCAAGTTGATTCCAACTCATGTTGACCCCGTGTGAGTCAGAGTAGAACTGTACTATATAGGGTTTTTAATGGCTGATTTTTTGGAAGTAGAATGCCAGGCTTTTCTTTGAGGCACCTCTGGGTAGACTCAAGCCTCCAACCTTTCCACAGAACTTACATATCATAAATTAATCTCTGATGAAGTGATTACAATGCCATATTCTTAATTGATTTATACACGTGATGCTGGAATTTTTCATTTGGAGACAGAAATTAGGGAACAGCTCATCATTCTTTCTAGATTTATAATGTATAAATGAATAAAGAAAAATGGAAAGAAAGTGGCTAGAATATTAAAAGCTAGAATTTCTATAAGGAAACAAATTTTAAAGAAAATGACTAGAATATTAAAAGCTAAGATTTCTATAAGGAAATAAATACTTTTACTCTAAGAATAGGAAACTAAAAAGCCCAAATTTGTAATAAAATACAAATTATTGCAATATTTTGTATACATATAGAACCACTCCTCTTTTTGAAAATCATGATTTTCAAAATAATCATCTTTTTTTGTAAGGAAGGAAGTATTTTAAAAGAAGCTGTCACATGTTTAATGAAGATAAGTATAAACAAGTAAATAAAATAAAGAAAATAGATTCCCAATTTATTTCAACTGTGATTACATATAGCTCTTGCATGTTGGGAATTTTACTGTAATGGACTTTTGAATGAATGACAAAATTAAATGAACAAAGAGAGAGAGGTGACAGTGTACCGGACCAAGAAGAAAGGGGAATGATTTTTTTCTACCTAGACTTATATTCAAAAGTACAGAATAAATAAAATGCTCCGCATTGAAGTTGTGAACTCTTAGAATGAATATACTCACTCCTCACTTACCAACATAGTTACGTTTCAAAGACCAGGTCATCATGCAAAAATAAGCATTATACAAAAATGGAGGAATGACCACATCAGATCACAAAATGGAAGATGAACACATCATTACATAACTGCCAAATTACATCATTACATAACTGACAAACCACTGAGAATCATGGCCCAGCCAAGCTGACACA